GTGTAATCATCTTTTTATTGTACTATGTTATAGAAATGATTGTTTTATTCCACAAATTAAAATTTTAATTACATTTTTTAAAAAGACAGGCTCAAATCTTGGATCTGCCTCTTCCTAAATAACCGACAAGTTAATTTCTCACTTTGAGCTTCAGTTTTCCCAACTATAAAACAGAATTAATAATGCTTTCACTGCCTAGCTCACAGCATTATTGTGAAGGAAGTGCTTCATAAACCTTAAAGTGCTAGAGAAATTAATAATAATAATGATACTGAAGGGGTTTCGCTTAACTTTCCAAATAGAAACTTCCCATCGAAAGCTTGCTTCAGACAGCTTGTACTAAGGAAATATTCTGGGTCTCTAGAGTCAAGAGATTAGCTCCAAGAGACCTGTTATCTAGTCCTGTCTCTGTCATTAACTAAACTGTGCAAGTTGGACAAGTCACTTCTCATCTCTGGGCCTCAGGGAGTAAGTGAGATTGGCATGGAGAGAATAGAGAGATAAAAGAGAAAAGATCGAAGAACTGAACCTTGGGCAAATCTGGTCCTCTTTGAAAATGAAGGACAAGGGGCAGCTAGGTGGCACAGTGGATAAAGCACCGGCTCTGAAGTCAGGAAGACCTGAGTTCAAATCCAGCCTCAGACCATCCACTTGACAGTTACTAGCTGTGTGACCCTGGGCAAGTCACTTAATCCCAATTGCCTAAAAAAAAAAAAAGAAAAGAAAATGAAGGACAAACAGCAGTAACAAAATGCATCACCAACCTTTCCATAAGGGAAAAATGAGATTCAAATCATTAATCAGAGCATTCTGGAGGGGGAAAAACTCTAGAAGAGCAGCTTGGGGTGAGGTGACAGGAGGATTTATGGGGAGAAGACTGAAGGAAGCAGATTGCAGCTGATTATCTGGATAGCTATATGGCGCATTCTGCTATGGAAGGGAAAAAATGTAAAATACCATGGGACCTGTCTAGTCAGCTCTTTAATTTTACAGGTAAGGAAATATAGACCCAAAGACAGAAAATTATTCAAAGCCACATGTTTACTTAGGGGAAAAATTACCAGTCTTGGAATCAGAAGACCCAGGTTTACACCTGGGGTTTTATATTTTCTACTTATATGTCTCAGGGCAAATACTTTTTTCCTGAATCTCAGTTTTCCTATCTATAAAAATGGAGAAAACAACTAATTATACTACCTACCTTACAGTGTTGGGAAGAAAGCATTTTATAAACCTTAGAGTGCTATATAAATATCTATTATTATTAGTGATACATGCGGGAAAAGTTGCTAATAATTAGAACTGCCAAACTAGAATAGACTACATTGCAAAGTAATTTATCTCAAGAGTGTTAGGGGGAACATTGTGTGGGAGATTGGATGAGATGACCTCTCAAATCCCTCTAATATACGGTATGATATATGATTCTTTTAAAACTTTAACTAGAACCTGGGTCTTCTCATTTCCAGAGTAGAGATCTTTTCCATTGCACTACTATGAATATTCTCTCCTATGGTAAAGATTACCTGGAACCATAAACTAATTCATGTCACGTTTGAAGATGGCATTTCTGCCAGTATATCTCAGTGGGCATTTATTTAACTCCTCTGTGATTAGCACTAAGTTAATTATTTCAAGGATCTACAATTTCATTGTTTGGGTTGTCATCCCACTAATATAGATAGTATCCCTCCTACATACTTGTATAGTCTTTGCTAATGCAAAAAAAATAGAAAGTTAGATATAGATACAGATATAGAGATAGAGTTAGAGATAGAGATATATGTGACATGCTGTCCCAGTGAAATCCAAGGTCCCTGGAATCCATAGTTCCCAGAAACGAGAGTCACCTTCAAGGGAAGAAACTGTACTTGTAGTTTCAGGAAACTTTTACCACAGTATAGCATAAGTATACTGGCTCTAACAAAAGAATACAAAGCCTGGAAGTCAGCAGACCTCCACACAACAGTTAAATTCCAGAGGAGGTGTCTTTCATTGTCTTTGGACTATACATTTTTTGAGATCCAGAGTTTTTACAAACAGTCTTATGACAGTTTTTATTTCATTCACAGTAGTTCACCCTGTTATCAAGTGGCTGCCACTGTTTTCTTTCCTTGGGGACTTATTTACTTCTTGAGGATAGCTGAAAGAATACCATTCCTGAAAAAATAATTCCTTAGCATAAAGGGTGGTTAACCAATCTCACGATCATTATTCCAAGAGAAATGCTACTTGGAAGCATCCTCCCAAAACTTATTCCCTTCTTTCCCCTCCTCCTTCTTATTTCTCTCCCCTTGTACTTCCCTCATCATCTCATTGAGCTCTTTGGCTAGGGCTCCTGCCAGAAATAGGACTCTGGGGGAAACCACCCACCACTGCACTTGGTCTACTCCTACAGCCACCTGTGCATCTGAGGCTTTTGCTCCTTCTGATATAACCTGATATTTCTGCAAACCTTGATGAGATGGGCCAATACTTGGTTTGGGGGACTTTGAACTTCCTGGCTCTTAACCAAAGATGTCTCCAGTGGTTGCAATAAGAAAAAGCTGCTTCATTGCCAATTTTGAAAAGCCCAAAAATAACTCAAGGCTATATTGACGACTTCTTTGGGTGAAGCCAGAGGGCCATCTTGGAACTCAATAAATAAGTAATAGTTAACATTATACTTTACAAAGCTGTATTCTGCAACAGTCTTGTGAGGCAGGTTGTTTAAGTATTATTATCCCCGTTTGGTAGATGAGTAAAATGAGGCTCACAGAGGTGTGTAATTTAACCAAAGCTATAGAGCTACAGAATCACATTATCCTCCAGGAGGAAGGAACCTCAGAGGCCTTGTGTTTCGACTAATACCTAAATCATAATTTCTTCTACAACAAGGGGTCATCCAGTCTTTACTTAAAAGTTCTTAGTAAAGGGGAACATACAACTTCCCAAGGAAACCCATACCTTACTTGAATGTATTTATTAATTAGGAAGTTATTCTTTCCATCAAGCCTAAATTTTCCTCTTAGAAATTTCTACCCTTTGTTCCTAGATCCTGGAGCCATGTAGAACAGAAGTAATCTCTTTTCTGTTTTACAGAAAACAGAAAAATAATTTCTTCCAAAGCTAGAGAGCAATCTAAGGGAAGGAAATCAGGATGGGGAAGGTTCTCTAGTTATTGCATCTGAGGATTGGTTGAAGGAACTAGAAGAATTTAACCAACAGAAAATGAGATTGGGGTGGGGAGAAGGAGGGGCTATCTATCTTCAAGTATTTGAAGGGCTGTCTCATGGAAGGAAAATTGGTTTTATTCTGGGTGGCCTTAGAAGATAGAACTAGGAACAATATGGGCAGAAGTTGAAAAGAGACAAATTTGGCCTTGATATAAGGGGGGAAATTATAACAAATTAGAGCTATGCATAAGTGAAATGGTTTCTTCAGGAGTTGATAGGTTGGTCCTCTTTGGAGGTCTTCAAGCAATTTCTGGATGACCCTTTATCAGATGTGTTATAGTGGAGACTCCTTTTCTAATGTGGGTTGGATTAGATGGGCAGAGAGGTGCCTTCCAACTCTGAAATTTTGGTGAAATACTTGAAAATAGTTATAATGACCCTCACTTACATCTTCATTTCTGGACAAAAGTGTAGATGGGAAAGGAAGGGTCCAGACTGAGTTAGGAAACCAGAGCTAAAGCTCCGGCTAGCTGTATGAAATTCCTCAAAGAAGTCAGTTTTAAGCTTTAATAGCTTAAAAACTCACTAAGGCTTTTCCGACATACTGTATCTGTATGCACATAAATAAACACGTCACTTATACAATTATACCTGAAAAGTAGATGGTGGAATTGTCAATCCATACCTGTCCTAGGCCCTGTAGGGCCTATCATATATGTGGTTGCCTTAGAAGCAATAAGTGCTTCTTGACCTTTAAGAAAGAAAGGAGAGGCAGGGCAGAAAAGAGGCAAGTGCCCTCAGCCCTCTGGAAGGAGGAGAGAGAAAATGGAGCCAAAAAAGACTCCTTTTCTCCTGGTCACCAACAGCTTGGACAAGATTATCATACTCTGTCCTTACATGTCTAAGATTTGATGACTCTGTGGTTCTATGATGATAATCTCCATTTGACACTTGAGCAGCCCAGGGAAATTGTAGGCTTAGGACCCTGGGCTGTAAATTAAAGTTTCTATCTTCTGAAACACTCATATAGGCCTACTGGGACAGAGAAGGGAGAGCACAAAGATAGAACCAACCCTTTGCTCTTGGGGGGAGCTGGCAGGAACAAAGAAAATAAGGTTAAGAGAAAGATCCTTTAAGCCCTATCTATTACCTCCACTCTACTCATATCACACGCTTGTAGTTATGTTCCTTCTTGCTAGGATCCAGGATCATTCAGTTTTGTCTTTTCTATTTTCTTACAAGACTGAATTTCCCTAGCTCACTTGGGTTGGAAGCACAGGGGCTACTCACAGGCCAAGCCCATTCCAATCAACTTGGGAGCTTTAACATGCTCTGTTTAACAGTCTTGGCCAGTACTAATTCACGTGGTAGCCCATTTCATTTCTGGATTACAATGTACTATCATGGGAAAGAAAGACTCCAGACTGTGAGTTAAGAAACTAGAGTTCAAGTCCTGGTTAGTTGTATGACCTTCCTTAAACAAGTTAATTCCTGTCTTCTATAAAATGAGGGCATTGGACTTGATGATCCAAGACCTTGGAACCTCTGTATTCTGATTGTGAGCAAGTCCTAATGGTGATGATCAGAACACAGAGGGCCAGGAGACCCAAACTTAAAGAGTGGCTGGCTTGTTGTTGCTTTGTCAACAAGTCGTATCCAACTCTTTGCGAGCCCATCGGGGGTTTTCTTGGCAAACACACTGGAGTGGTTTCCTTCTCCAGCTCATTTTATAGATGAAGAAAACCACTGAGAGTTATTCAAACAGACCTTTGAGCTCCCTGAAAATGACAAGGGCTTGTTTTCTCAATGAGTTATCCTAAAAACTTGTCTTCCTTCCCTTTGCAGTCTGATGGTACCATCCTGGCAATTGCCCTGCTGATTCTCTTCCTGCTCTTGGCCCTGGCTCTTCTCTGGTGGTTTTGGCCCCTTTGCTGCACAGTGGTGAGTGTCCGCCCATCCTCTCCCATTACAACTGCTGCTACTATAGGTATGACAGTTGACAAGATATTGGGAGAACAATGTCTGGAGAGAAAAGTGGAATTTAGGACAAAGTCACGTTTTATGTTTGAGATCTGGTTAAAATGAACATTGCTCAATAGGACAGGAAAAAAATGAAGACTTAAAGAAAATATGGGTATATTCTCTATTCAATGCAACAAATATGTTAAAGTCCCTACTTTGTTCAAGGCACACAGATTGAAATGACACAGACTTTGCTCTTTAGTACCTTACAAGCTAAAAAGGGGAAAGACAAAGACGTAAGTAATAATGGGGACAGCTCACTAACTCAGGGGATAAAGCGGTGGGCCAGCAGTTAGGAAGACCCAAGTTCAAATCTGGTTTCATACACTTACTAGCTATTTGATCTGGGCAAGTCACTTAACCTCTGTTTGACTCAGTTTCCTTATCTGTAAAATGGGGATAATAATAGTACTTACCTAGCAGGCTGTTGCGAGGATCAGATGAAATAACGGAAAAGCTCTTATCACATTGCCTGGCACATAGTAAGCACTAATTAAATGTTAGCTAATATTAGCAATCACAATTAATGATATGATAACAGAGAATAAAATAGATTCAAAGGAGGGACTGAGAAAGATTCTAGGCAAGTCAGAGTCTGAATAACATATATTTTATTATTATTATATCTTTGAATATGATATGAACTTGAATAATATAAACCTCAAAGAAGAATTTGAGATCGGGCCTTAAAGGAAAAGAGTACTTCAGCAGAAAGAGATTGAGGGGAAGTCCGTTCCAGCGGTGGAAGAGAAGGCGAGGAAAGTGGATTGGAGCCATATGGTGGGAGGCCTTGAAAGCCAACAAAAGTATCCAATGATAGGCAGTGAGGAAGTACTGAAATCATTTTAAATGGAGGAATTGTGTAATAAATGGATAGGAGATAAAAGACTAGATGCAAGAAGAGCAATTAGGGCCTGCGTATCTCCTGCATCAGTATAAATTACTCCATGAAGCACAAGGAAATAATAAACAGGAACAATCTGATGACAGAATTATGAAATCTTAGCAGGAAATAAATCCACATTTATTCATTTTCTATAGCACCTGTGTCCCAAACTTCTTTTTTTAAAATAAAGTTTGAGTAAGATTAAGCAGATAGAGATAAAAAACAGAAAACCAAAACAGTGCCTTCAAGTGAAGTTTTAGAAGTATGAGAAGCTAATGAAACACGAAGAAATGCTAGGAGGTTGAAGCACCTGGCAAGAATTACAACGGTTAAGGCCAGAGGTGTGCGGGAGCTAGCAGATGTTGGCTTGGGAGAGCCCATCATTAAATTTTCAGTGCAAACACGTCACACCTTTGGCAAATGCTACAAATGAGGGCTTGACTTATTGTTTTGTTGATTGTCTAGGCTTAAGAAAGTGAGGGGGAAATGCTAACAATGTAGATTAACCTTAAAAGTCTGTTGTGCCTACATTTTTTTCCGCCAGAGAACCGATTGTTAAACATTTATAAGCATACTACTGGTTAAAGCTCTTATAACTAGGAAGCAGCAGGTTTAATAGTGAGTCAGGAGAGACCTGAGTTTAAGTTTTAGTTCTAAAACTTGCTAGCCATGTGACCTCACATAAACCATCCAATATTTCAATGCTTCATTTTCTTTATCTATCAGTTAGTGGAAAAGATGCTTATACTAGATGCCTCACAAGATTATTCCAGAAATTTTGTTGTTGTTCAGTCATTTTTCAGTTGTGTCTGACACTTTGTGACCTCATTTGGGGTTCCCTTGGCAAAGATACTGGAGTAGTTTGCCATTTCCTTCTCCAGCTCATTTAACAGATGAGGAAACTGAGGCAAACAGGGTTAAGTGATTTGCCTAGGATCACACAGCTAGAGAGTGTCTGAGGCCAGATTGGACAAAGAAAGACAAGTCTTCTGATTCTAAGCCCCGTGCTCTATCCACTGTGCCACCTACCTCCAAAGAAAGCATTTATTAAACCTTAAAATGCTTTATAAAAGTAAGTTATTGGGGCAGCTAGATGGCACAGTGGATACAGCACCGGCCCTGAAGTCAGGACCACCTGAGTTCAAATCTGGCCTCAGACCAAACACTTGATACTTACTAGCTGTGTGATTCTGGGAAAGTTGCTAAATTGCCTAAAAATTGCCTAAACCCAATTGCCGAAAAAAAAATAAACAAGCAAACAAAAAGTAGGTTATTACTAGCAAAGCCTCTAAATATTAAAGCAAAAGAATCTTTGCAGAAGAGGGACCAGAAAGGTAAACACTACAAGACATTTACTCCTACCCAAATAAGACAGATTATACCCAGAACTAAAATGGACTTCTGTAATAGTGGTCTCCAAAATGGCAATACTTCAAGTTCCTTTGTACCACCCATAATGCTAAGAATAAGTTAGTATGTCTAGTGGAAAACACACTAGATTGGGAATCAAAGAACCCGGGTTTGAATCCTGGGTCTTGTGTGTGCACCCACAGTCAAGTTGCTCCCCTCCAGATTTCAGTTTACTCATCTGGAAAATCAAGGATTTCATAGGCTCATGGGTTTAGAATCAAGGGACCTTGGTGTTGTAGTTGTTATTGTTGTTGTTGTTGTTGTTGTCGAGTTATCTGAGTTGTGTCTGGCTCTTTGTGACCCCATTTGAGATTTTCTTAACAAAGACACCAGAGTGGTTGGCCGTTTTCTTCTCCAGCTCATTTTACAGATGAGAAAACTGAGGCAAACAGGGTTAAGTGACTTGCCCAGGATCACACAGCTAGTAAGTGTCTGAGGCCAGATTTGAAGATAAGTTGCCCTGACTCCGGGTCTGGTGCTCTATCCACTGAGCGACCTAGCTATCTAAATGTCGAACAGAGGAGGTTATATTTGATCCTGCAGGTAATAGGAAGCCGCCAGAGATCCTTGAGCAGGGGAGTGACATGATCAGGCTTGCACTTTAGAAAAACAATGTTGGCCACAGAGTGGAGGATGGATTGGAGTGGGGAGAGATATGGCAAGAGCACTTAGAAAGCTCTTTCAGTTGTCCAGGAGAGAGGTAATGAGACTGAACTCGGATCGAGTGGCTGTATGAACAGAGAGAAGGGGAAATGTTATAAAGGTAAAAATGACAAGATCTGGCACTGAATATAATGGGTGAGAATAAGGCATTGTCCATTTCAATTCCTTTGTTTTGTGGATACTCTTTTCCAACCATAGAGCTAAGGTGCATTCATAGAATTGTTTTACTAAGTCATTTCAGAGATTCTGAGCAAACCAGCTCCAGCTATATCGTTAAGAATTCATAAGGCTACTTTAAATAACTTTGGTCATGTGATTTTTAATTTCTTTAGTCATTTGAAGTAATTAATTCTTCAATTGTTTCACTCAACTGACTTTGCACAGAAATGAACTTGTCCTTTTAAATAGTCTTCAGGTTATAATTTAGGTTTATTTGGAAGACAAAAGTTACTTGAAAGTTAAGCTTAGTTTTGTAAGAATTTTCTTGTACCATAGCCTAGATCAACACGCTTGGCACTAGCCTTTGAAAGACTTTTACAATGTAAAATTCTCGGGATTTTAAGTACCTCTCTGCTGAGTAACAGCTCAACTGTGTGTTAAAAAATATTAAGATTTATATTGTTTTTCATTGTTCAGGGGAAAGAACCTTATTTAATTTTTATCAGCTTGCATTTTATCCATTCTTGGATGTTTACCTTACCAGAATTGTCTCATTTTCCCTTCGCTTCTGTACAAATCCTTATTATTTTAAGATTCTGCAATCAAAATGGAGGTTGTCATTTTTAGTATGAAAGAGATTCCTGCACTTGATTCCATTCCTGCTAACAATGCCATTGAAACCATCAGTTAAAATAAAACATTTACCATAGCTTTGTGGAGAAGCTGCCAAAATTAGGCATGCTATCCATTTTGTAACTCTGAATACCTAGACCTCATTATCATCTAAGCAAGAACCCAAAGAGTCAAGGACCTTAAGCTATGAGCCCAGAAGTTATAATAAGTGAAGCAGGGAAGGGAGATTGCTCTTAATGCTTCCAATGATGGCAGAGTTGGAAGGATAGCTAACATATTGGATCACAGAGCCAGGATCCCAAACATTTTCAACAAGCTAGAACAAGGACCAAATCTTATAAGATGGAATTCAATCAGGATTAATATAAAGTCAAACACTTGGGTTCAAAAAATCAATGGTATAATTATGGAATGAGCTTAGACAACAGGTCCCAGGAAAAGATCTAAGAGTTTTGTTCAGCTTCAAGTTCAAAAAGAATCAAAAGTACAAGGTAGCTATGAAAAAAAAATCTAACTCCAACTACAGCTGCACTGATAGATGCGTCGTGCCTAGAGAGGGGCGGTTGTGGTCTTGTATGTATTCTGTCCTGAGCAAAACACATCTGGACTATTGTGTTCAGTTCAAAGTGCTGTAATAAGGGCATGTACAAAGGAGGGCAACAAGGATGGTAAGTACTGAAGACCATACTACACAAGGAATTGGGGATGGTTAATCTAAGAGAAGACTTCTTTGAGACATGTTAGCTATCTTCGAGTATTTGAAGAACTGGCATGGGGAAGTAGAAGTTTTGGCTTGTCCACATGGGGCAGAATTAAGAACAACATTGGCAATTGTCTCAAGAGAGATTTTAACACAATTATAATGAAAAGCTTTGTTACTGTTGAAGAGTGGAATTCACCTCCCCTAGGAGAGACTGAGATTCCCATCAATAAAGATCTTCCAGTGAAGTTGAATGACCCCTTCTGGGTTTTTAAAAGAACTGGTTTGTTTTCAATCTTTGTATCCCCAATGGTGCCTGACATATACTAGATGATTAAATGCCTAATGAATGAATTGAAATGAAGGAAACTGAAATGAATATTTTTTTAAAAGGAATTTCTATTTCATTGAGTTGGATTAGAAGATCACTGAGGTCCTGTTAGATTTTATGAACCTGTGAAAATTCTG